TAACATGTGTCTTACTTACCAACATCTGTTCCGAGTAGGGAAATTAGATCTAACAAAAATGATCCCAAATGAATGAACAATGGATTAAAACATCTCATTGGACAAAAGAGAGGCATATATAGGCATATCAAAAGAGGGGATGGGAAGTTAAGAAATCAATATATTCAATTAAAGAGAGAAATAAAGAAAGTAATAAGAAAAACAAAAAGAGATTATGAGGCTAAGGTCGCAAGGGATTCAAAGACTAACCCAAAAGGGTTCTTTCAGGTATACAGAAGTAAGATTAGGGACAAGATTGGCCCACTTAAGAGTAACTCTGGTCAGATCACTGACAGTGATAAGGATATGTGTGAAATTCTAAATACTTACTTCCTCTCAGTTTTCACCCTGGAAAATACTAGCGATATTCCTGAAATAATAGATTACGTAGAACAGGATGATAATAAACTATGTACGATTGCGGTAACTAGTGACATGGTCCTCAGACAAATAGAGAAACTAAAACCTAACAAATCCCCAGGTCCTGATGAACTGTTTGCAAGGGTGTTAAAGGAATGTAAAGAGGAACTTTGGCTAATCTTTTTAACATATCACTACAAACTGGCATAGTGCCTGATAAGTGGAAAATGGTAAATGTAATACCTATTTACAAGGCAGGTGACAGGTCCTTGGCTTCGAACTATAGACCAATAAGCCTTACCTCCATAGTGGGAAAATTTATGGAATCAATAATTGCCGAAGCAATTCGTAGCCATCTTGACAGGCACAGATTGATTAATGAATCTCAACACGGTTTTACAAAGGGGCGTTCCTGTCTTACGAATTTACTAATTTTTTTCACTAAGGTGTTTGAGGAGGTAGATCATGGTAATGAATATGATATTGTGTATATGGACTTCAGTAAGGCTTTCGATAGTTCCACATCAGAGGCTATTGAGGAAACTTAAGGCACACGGAATAGGAGAAATTTTTTCCTGGGTAGAGGCATGGCTGACAAATAGGCAGCAGAGAGTTTGCATAAATGGGGAGAAATCAGAATGGGGGCACGTCACAAGCGGTGTTCCTCAGGGGTCAGTGTTGGGCCCGTTGTTGTTCACAATTTACATAAACGACATAGATGAGGGAATAAATAGCGACATAAGCAAGTTTGCTGATGACACCAAAATAGGCCGTCCAATTCATTCTAATGAGGACATTAGATCACTCCAGGATGATTTGAATAGACTGACGCAATGGTCGGAGAAGTGGCAGATGCAGTTTAATATTGACAAATGCAAAGTTCTAAATGTTGGACAGTTAAATAACCATGCCACATATAAACTAAATAATGTAGATCTTAATACTACCGATTGCGAAAAGGATTTACGAGTTCTGGTTAGCAGTAACCTAAAACCAAGACAACAGTGCATTAGTGTTCGCAATAAAGCTAACAGAATTCTTGGCTTCATATCTAGAAGTATAAATAATAGAAGTCCTCAGGTTGTTCTTCAACTCTATATATCCTTGGTTAGGCCTCATTTAGACTATGCTGCTCAGTTCTGGCCACCGTATTACAGAATGGATATAAATGCTCTGGAAAACGTACTAAGGAGGATGACAAAGATGATCCCATGTATCAGAAATCTTCCCTATGAGGATAGACTGAGGCCCTGAATCTGCACTCTCTCGAAAGGCGTAGAATTAGGGGGGATATGATCGAGGTGTATAAATGGAAAACAGGAATAAATAAAGGGGATGTAAATAGTGTGCTGAAAATTTCCAGCCAAGACAGGACTCGCAGCAATGGTTTCAAGTTGGAAAAATTTAGATTCAGGAAGGATATAGGAAAGCACTGGTTTGGTAATAGAGTTGTGGATGAGTGGAACAAACTCCCGAGTACAGTTATTGAGGCTAAAACGTTGTGTAGTTTTAAAAATAGATTAGATAAATACATGAGTGGGTGTGGGTGGGTGTGAGTTGGACCTGACTAGCTTGTGCTGCTGGGTCTGGTACAGTGCTCCATCCTTGAGTGGGGATGACCCCACTGGGTGGGTCATTGGGATAATCCGGGGGGTGGGTCATTGGTCTTATCCGGGGGGGGACATGGACCTGCTCCGCATGGGTCAGTAGGCCTGTTGCAGTGTTCCTTCTTTCTTATGTTCTTATGTTCTTATCTTTTCAACTGAGGGACTGACTGCGTCTATTTACAGTCCTGTAAGGTTGAGGGACTGATTGCCTCACCTTCAGCTACCTCTGTGTATTATCCTGGAAGACTGAGAGACTAATTACCTCTTCTTTACTGTCTTCGTATATCATGTTTGCATTGCACTGATAAAACCACTTGTTGGCGAAACGTCTTCAAATAAACATACCAGGTGTCACACGTGTGTTTGGATCCTTCCCACCACAGCTCTACTCCAGTGACTCTCACCTCTTTCTTTAAAGCTACCCGCGGTGTTAGTTTTAATAACAAGTTCTTTTGGTCACAGGAGCGGGACTGTTCAAGCGAGCTATTTTGATGTCTGGGTCAGCACTGAGTCCCTGGGCCGCGGTGCAAGAACCTGTCTATTATGCAGTACAAGCAGCTAGACAGCTGGGCTGTCAAGTCCCAGAGGACCTCTATCTGCACTACGAAGCTCTCCTGCACTGTCTGCGTGATCGAACTGTAGACCAGATCCTCCAGGTGTGTCATATACTCTACGTAAACATACAGTCATTGATAGTTATTTATTATAATCATAAGAATGGAGAAGCGTTGCAGCTGACCCATGCTAAGTAGGTCCTTCTCTAATCCAACCAACCAACTCGTCCCTCCAGTCTAGCAGTTCATGACTACTACTGGACAGTGTTGTTCCAGCCGCAGGATGGAACAACACACACTTTACCCACATCTTGAGTTGCCACTGAAAGGTTTTTCTTAGTTCATTATCACTTTAATGACGAAGAACGAAGACACTTGTGCAACACTTGGGTAAATTTACTACTCAAGTGTTACATATTACTCAAGTGTTACATATTACTCAAGTGTTACAGCACTTTATATCATAATTAATATTATTCTATAGTAATACTATACAGTACTGACAGGTTGATGAATAAGATTCATGTGGCAACACTTAAGTGTGAATGAATGAGACACTTGAGCAACATTTGAGAATCTTTGTTCTGAAAACGTTTCGCCAGCCAGTGGCTTCTTCAGTCCAGTGCAGAGAAAGGTAGAAGACGAGGAGGAGTTTGAGGTAATCAATCTCTCAGCCTGGGATGAGGGACTGATTACCTTTCTCTCCATTGGACAGAAGAATCCACTGGCTGGCGAAACGTTTCCAGAACAAAGATACCCAGAAGTTCCACAAGTGTCTCATTTATCAACTTGTCGGTTTTCTTTATTTCCGAAACGTTTCACCTACACAACAGACTTCATCAGTCGAGTATCGAGGTGGTTACCATCCTGGAGACGGTTAATAAGGAAATCTGTCCCCTCAATATTCGACTAACGAAGCCTACTACGCAGGTGAAACTTATCCTCAGGATAGATACCTAATCCAGCACATGTGTCTTACTTGCTCCTCTGTTCAGCAGCACCTCACACTTCAAGACCAACATCATCTCAACAACATGAACTTATGCCTATGAACTTTAAGGAATATCTGCTGAGATGAGTTATTTACGGTATTTATATCTATATTAAGAACTATCATGTATATCTTAGATGTATGTGAGAGAGTGAGAGAGAAAGCTAATGTAGGTAATAGCTCTTAGCTTGTAAATAAAGGTAGGCACCCTCAACCTAACCTTGTAAAACCCTTGTGTTAAGATAGATAAAAGATAGATAGATAGATAGATAGATAGATAGATAGATAGATAGATAGATAGATAGATAGATAGATAGATAGACAGAGAGAGAGAGCGAGAGAGAGAGAGAGAGAGACGTGATGTAGGTAACAGCTGTTAGCTTGTGAATAAAGTTAGGAATCCTTAATTTGTTAACAGCTTGTCAATAAGTTACGGATCCCTATCTTAACCTTGTCAAACCCTGTGAAAGAGAGAGAGAGACAGACAGAGAGAGAGAGACAGAGACAGAGAACATGTCATGCATGATAAAGCAAGTGGAGTGTTCCTCCCACAGGTGGAGTTTGAAACACCTCAGTTTCTCTCCTCCATGGGACCCAGTGTTGACGGAGTGACCATCAGACCTGACTGGAAGGATCAACACACCAAGATGGGTGAGTAACACATTATGATGGGTGAGTAACGCATTATGATGGGTGAGTAACACATTATGATGGGTGAGTAACACATTATGATGGGTGAGTAACACATTATGATGGGTGAGTAACACATTATGATGGGTGAGTAACGCATTATGATGGGTGCGTAACGCATTATGATGGGTGAGTAACACATTATGATGGGTGAGTAACACATGATGGGTGAGTAACACATTATGATGGGTGAGTAACACATTATGATGGGTGAGTAACACATCAGGATGGGTGAGTAACACACTATGATGGGTGAGTAACACATCATGATGGGTAATTAACACATCATGATGGGTGAGTAACACATTATGATGAGTGAGTAACACACTATGATGGGTGAGTGACACACTATGATGAGTGAATAATACATTATGATGGGTGAATAACACACTATGATGGGTGAGTAACATACTCTGATGGGTGAGTAACACATTATGATGTTTGAGTAACACACAATGATGGGTAAATAGCACGTTATGAAGAGTGAGTAACACATTATGATGGGTGAGTAACACACTATGATGAGTGAATAACACATTATGATGAGTAACACATTGTGATGGGTGAGTAACACATTATGATGGGCGAGTAACACACGATTTGTTGAGTAACACATTATGATGGGTGAGTAACACATTATGATGGGTGAGTAACACATTATGATGGGCGAGTAACACATGATTTGCTGAGTAACACATTATGATGAGTGAGTAACACATTATGATGAGTGAGTAACACACTATGATGGGTGAGTAACACATTATGATGGGTGAGTAACACATGATTTGTTGAGTAACACATTATGATGGGTGAGTAACACATTATGATGAGTGAGTAACACACTATGATGGGTGAGTAACACATTATGATGAGTGAGTAACACATTATGATGGGTGAGTAACACATTATGATCGGTGAGTAACACATTATGATGAGTGAGTAACACACTATGATGGGTGAGTAACACATTATGATGGGTGAGTAACACATGATTTGATGAACAACCAATAACAGTGAACAACACAATATGATGAGGTGAACAACACAATATGAGGGTGAACAACACAATAGATGAGTGAACAACACAATATGATGAGTGAACAACACAATATGATGGATGAACAACACAATATGATGAGTGAACAACACAATATGATGAGTGAACAACACAATAGATGGATGAACAACAAAATTTATGACGAGTGACCAACACAATATGATGAGTGAACAACACAATATGATGGATGAACAACACAATATGATGAGTGAACAACACAATATGATGAGTGAACAACCAATATGATGGATGAACAACACAAATATGGACGAGTGAACAACACAATATGATTTGGATGAACAACACAATATGATAAAAGTGAACCAAACACAATATGATGGATGAACAACACAATATGATGATTTGAACAACACAATTTTGATGAGTGAAAACACAATATGATGAGGAACAACACAATATGATGAGTGAACAACACAATTTTATGAGTGAACAAACACAATATGATGAGTGAACAACACAATATGATGAGTGAAAACACAATTGATGAGTGAACACACAATATGATGAGTGAAACAACACCAATATGATGAAATGGGAACAACCACAATATTGATGGATGAAAAAACACAATATGATGAGTGAACAACACAATATGAGGATGAAACAACAAATGACGAGTGAACAACACAATATGATGAGTGAACAACACAATATGATGAGTGAACAACACAATATGATGAGTGAACAACACAATATGATGAGTGAACAACAAAATTTATGATGAAGTGAACAACCCCAATATGATTAGTGAACAACACAATATGATGAGTGAACAACACAATATGATGAGTGAACAACACAATTTATGATGAGTGAACAACACAATATGATGAGGGGAAACAACACAATATGATGGTTGAACAACACATATGATGATGTGAACAACATAATATGATGAGTGTAAACACAATATGATGGATGAACAACACAATATGATGAGTGAACAACACAATATGATGAGTGAACAACACAATATGATGGATGAACAACACAATATGATGAGTGAACAACACAATATGATGAGTGAACAACACAATATGATGGATGAACAACACAATATGATGAGTGAACAACACAATATGATGAGTGAACAACACAATATGATGGATGAACAACACAATATGATGAGTGAACAACACAATATGATGAGTGAACAACACAATATGATGAGTGAACAACACAATATGATGAGTGAACAACACAATATGATGAGTGAACAACACAATATGATGAGTGAACAACACAATATGATGGATGAACAACACAATATGATGAGTGAACAACACAATATGATGAGTGAACAACACAATATGATGGATGAACAACAACAAATATGATGAGTGAACAACATAATATGATGAGTGAACAACATAATATGATGAGTAAACAACACAATATGATGGATGAACAACACAATATGATGAGTAAACTTTAGTTATTGTTTTCCATTATTTCACAAATCCACAATATGAGAGATTTTTTCACAAATCCGAATTATGGGAGTACATTTTTTTACACAAATCCACAGTATGAGAGAGAATTTTTACACAAATCCACAAAATGAGTGGACATTTTTTTCACAAATACGAGAATTTTTTATACACAAATCCACAATATTGATTATAGTTCACGACGAATCGAAACACTGTCAGAATTTTTTTTTTAATGAATGTATTCTTATTACAAAAAAAATTACAACAGAATAAATTCTAGAAAATTACACGAGAGAAACAGAATAAATGAAAAAAATTTTGTAACCTGTAATAATGTTAGTAGAATTACCGACAATATGTTAGGTAAAAGGGACACAAGTGCAACTAATGTGACGTTTTTATTGTGGCAACGTTTCGCTCTCCAGGAGCTTTATCAAGCCAGTTTGACATAATAATACTAATAATAATAATAATAATAATAATAATAATAATAATAATAATAATTAATAAAAATAATAATAATAAAAAATAATAATAATAATAATATAATAATAATAATAATAATAATAATAATAAAAAATAATAATAATAATAATAATAATATTTACTACAAGTACATGTATTAGGTATACAGTCCATAGTTGACATCAGTGACATACTACTATACCTGGAGTATACGCGGAGTATACCTGGAGAGGATTTCGGGGGTCAGTACCCCCGAGGCCCGGTCTGTGACCAAGCCTCGCAGTGGAGTATGGCCCAATCAACCAGGCTGTTACTGTTGGCTGTACCCAAACTGACGTACGAACCACAGCCTGGCTGGTCAGGTACTGACTTTAGGTGCCTGTCCAGTGCCTTCTTGAAGACAGCCAGGGATTTATTGGATATCCCCCTTATGTATGCTGGGAGGCAGTTGAACAGTCTTGGATCCCTCACACTTATTGTGTTGTCTCTCAGTGTACTCGTGGGGCTTCTGCTTTTCACTGGGGTCACGTTGCATCGCCTGCCGAGTCTTTTGCTTTCGGAGGGAGTGATTTTCGTGTGCAAATTTGGTATAAATCCCTCTAGGATTTTTCAAGTGTATATTATCGTGTATCTTTCTCGCCTGCGTTCTAGGGAATACAAGTCAAGGAACTTCAACCGTTCCCAGTAATTCATGTGTTTTATTGTACTTATGTGTACCGTGAAGGTTCTCTGTACATTCTAAAGGTCAGCAATTTCACCTGCCTTGAAAGGCGCAGTTAGTGTACAGCAAAATTTCAGCCTGGAGAGGACAAGCAATTTGAAGAGAATCATCATGGGCTTGGCATCCCTAGTTTTGAAGGTTCTCATTATCCATCCTATAATTTTTCTAGCAGATGTGGTAGATACAGTGTTGTGATCATTGAAGGTCAGATCCTCTGACATTATCACTCCCAGGTCCTTCACATTAGTTTTTCGCTCTTTTGTTAGATTGAAATTTATTTTATATTCTGATATAGTTTTCATTTCCTCAATTTTTCGATATCTTAGTATAAAGAAATTTCGCTTCATTAAACTTCATATTGCTTTCCATGGACCAATTAAAGATTTGGTTGATGTCCACTTGGAGTCTTGCAGTGTCTTCGATTGAGGACACTGTCTTGCAACCTCGAGTGTCATCTGCACAGGAAGACACGGTGCTATGGCTTACATCTCTATCTATGTCGGATATGAGGATGAGGAACAGGATGGGGACAAGTACTGTGCCTTGTGGAACAGAGCTTTTCACTGTAGCCGTCTCAGACTTTACTCTGTTTACTATTTCTCATTGTTTTCTATTTGTTAGGAAGCTATAGATCTATATACCAACTTTCCCCGTTATTCCTTTATCATGCATTTTGTGCGCTCTTACGCCATGATCACATTTTGTTTGTCCTCTAGAGCATCCGAGACCTTGTCATAGTGATCCAGTAGTTGGGACAGACAGGAGCGATTTGCTCTAAACCCATGTTGCTCTGGGTTGTGTAAATGATGAGTCGGCCTTTAATTCTTTGCTATTGCTTTGCTGCCCTCTTTGTGGAGCGGGGCTATGTCTGTTGTTTTAAGTACTGTGGGATGACTCCTGTGTTCATGTTCCCTCTCCATAGAATGATAAAGTTCCTTTCAGTTCTTGATGAACACGGAGTTCCACGAGCCTGCTTCTGGGACAGGGTGCATGGGCATGTCATTTATTGCCTTTTCGAAGTCATGTGGTGTTAAGAAAATATCAGAGCTGTTTGAATTTACCAAATTCTGAGTCTCGGTCATAAAAAAATCATTTAGGTTGTCGACTCTTAGTCTGGTTGCAGCGGCTCCCTGAACACCAAGCCACACTGGGACTTTAGTATCTCGCTCAATTTCCTTGCTGTCATCTTTGTAAGCCCCATCTCGTTTAAGCAGGGATCCAATACTGGATGTTGTTTTCACCTTAGATTTGGCATAGGAAAAGAAATATTTTGGGTTTCTTTCAGTTATATTTATGGTTTTTTGTTCTTCCTGAGTTTCTTGTCTCCTGTATGATTCTTTAAGCTTAAGCTCGATATTTGCTGTTTCTCTGCCCAGTGCCTCCCTTCATATTTCAGCAGCTCTGTGATTCTTCGCCTTCGCCTATATAGGGAGCATCTCTCTCTTTCTAGTTTACATCTTCTCTTCCCTTTTCTTAAAGGAATATGCCTCGAGCATACCTCAAGTGCCACAGAATTAATTCTTTCTAGGCAAAGGTTTGGATCCATGTTAGGTTAGGTATTTTCCCAGCATTTATACAAGACTGTCAAGTTTTCTAAGAATGCTGTTTTGCGGTTTCTGTCTTTTAGTACAGACGTAATTTATTCCCACAAGTGTCCATCTTCTGGGTAGATAGAAGCCCCTTGTTATGCAGAGCATTTCGGGCAAAATTTTAAATCAATTTTGTCCCAGTCTGTGACTCACACCAGTCGACTAACACCCAGGTACCCTTTTACTGATGGGGTGAACAGGGGGGAAAAGGTGTAAGGAAACACGCCCAATGTTTAAACCCCTTGCCGGGAATCGAACCCGGACCCTCAGGGTGTGAAGCGAGAGCTTTGCCTATTAGGCTACAAGCGAAACGTTGCCACAATAAAATGTCGCATTAGCTGCCCTTGTGTCATTTACCTAAAATTTTTCAAATTATAAATTCTAGTAAACACAAGCCTGTAAAAAACTAAAACTCTGCAAGATACACGAAAAAACATGAAATTAAAAACTCTAAAACAAGCGCTGCTTTCCTAAACCTTTCACTTTCCCGAAGACGATATCAATATACAACCTATGTGGTATGTCAGTATATCTTATTAATGAAAATAAGATACCAGATATATTAAGCAAATTTTATAAATTTGCTTGTAACAGAGAAGTGTAGATATAAATCCAGATGTAATCCTGTTAACCGTTTTGGGGTCTAGCTCCTGGGCCTTTTCTGTATCCATATGGTTATGAGGTGCATAAACTAGCCACTTCGGCGGCAAAATCTAAATTATAAATCGTTAAAACCGAAAACGTACTTGCGCTGTTAATTCCAGGGGTGTGGGGAGGGGGGAGTAAGTGTTAAATATCTCAGTGTTTATTAATTAACTTGCACTGTGCGTCATCCTGCTGCAGGCGAGGAAGGACGTACACCCGTGGACCTGCTGCTGGGAGTGGCTGCCACGGACGTTCTCGAGGTCTTCAGCGACGCGGAGATCCAGCACGGCTTCGAAGCCGATCACGAGATCGACTCCTGAGGACCTTTGTCACCAACAACTATCGCTACCACCTGCAGGTGGGTCTTCACGCTATAGGGTATATACAACGAGAGGTGTATATTAGTGAATATGTAATAAGATCATGGGTAACAGGTGACATCAATACGCAACATAACCACGTTGAAAAAAACATAGTCTTATTCCAAGCGCTTCCTCATTTCATCACATTTTCAAAGAACAACAGATATAAAGCAGAGATGTGACTCCACACGAGACTTGTTGGTATATTGCATCAGTGTATATGCGCAGAGGGGCAATTATATCTTCATGTGTATGAAGTACAATGAGAGGTATGTATCTCTGTGCATATATGTATCAAAAGATGTGTATATGTCAATGAATATTCAGTGTATATACACCTGGAAGCATATGTCTCCGAATACACATATATATATGTCGTGCAGAATAGGTAAAACGTGCGATTTTGTCTTTAAATAGCAAGGCTCTTCTAGCCGAATAAGGCAAAGCAAAAATTTGTGCATGCATAATTTCGCAAAAAAATCATTCTGAATTAACGAAAAAAATATATTTCATTGTGTTTGTTTTTTATTAAATTATTGTAAACTTATCTAAAATATATTTAGTTGGATTAGGCTAAAATAAATTGCGCTTGTTATAATAAGGTTAGGTAAGTTTTCTAAGGCTCTTTTGGTATAAAATTATTAATTTTTACATTAACATATATGAAAAAAATCTTTTAAACGTTTAAGGGAAAATTTTAGAAAGAACATAATTTTTAAATGACGTTCTGCTAATTGACCAGTTTTACCTATTTGGCACGACATATATAAATATATATTAATAAATATTATAAATATATATTATATATCTATATATATCATATATATGTATATATATATAAACTATATATCTATAATCATTAAAGAAAAATTGCACATTTTCAGGAAACAATTTTATCGTGTAGGCAAGGGTTACATTTTTTACATATTTTTTATAATTTACGTAAAGCAGCCGCGACCTGTGGGTGTGTGTGTGTGTGTGTGTGTGTGTGTGTGTGTGTGTGTTGTGTGTGTGTGTGTGTGTGTGTTTGTGTGTGTGTGTGTGGTGTGTGTGTGTGTATGTGTGTGTGTGTGTATGTGTGTGTGTGTGTGGTGTGTGTGTGTGTGGTGTGTGTGGTGTATGTGTGTATTACTCACCATTTGTGGTTGCAGGGGTCGAGTCACAGCACCTGGCCCCGCCTCTTTCGCTGATTGCTACTAGCGTCCTCTCTCTCCTGCCCCAATGAGCTCTATCATACCTCGCCTTAAAACTAGTATGGTTCCTGCCTCCACCAATCACTTTCTAGGTATTCCACGGCCTGACTACTCTATGACTGAAGAAATACTCCTAAATCCTTTGAATTCATCTGAGTCTTCAACTTCCAATTGTGACCTTTGTGTCTGTGTCCCAACTCTGGAACATTCCCGTCTTTGTCACCTCGTCTATTCCGCGCAGTATTTTTATATGTCGTTATCATGTCTCCCTGACCCTCCTGGCCTCCTGTGTCGGTCAGGCCGATTTCCCTCAACCTTTCCTCATAGGACAAATCCCGTAGCTCTGGGGTATCGTAAGTTGCCCCCCCCCCCCTTTGCACTTTCTCTAATTTCTTGACGTGCTTGACTAGGTGTGGATTCCAAACTGGTGCTGCAATACACCAGTATGGGCCTGGACGTGATGGTAGTAAGAGTCTTAAAAACGATCCTTATGAGGTATCGGAACGCTATCGTTGGTTTGCCAGGCGCCCGTCAATGCTGCAGCAGTTTCATCTGATTGATGTGCGCCTCAGGAGATATGCTCGGTGTTATATCACCCCCAGATCTTTTTCTTTAGTGAGGTTTGCAGTCTTTGGCCATCTAAAACTATAATGTGTCTGCGGTCTTTCTTTGCCCTTCCCAATCTCTTATGGACTTTGCATTTGGCAGCGGTTAAATTTGAAAGGCGCCAGGTGCTGGACAGGCTTGTAGCCTGGTCCAGATCTTTTGTAGTCCTGCCTGATTCCTCGTCGATTCGATTCTTCTCATTAACTTCACATCGTCTGCAAACAAGGACCACTTCTGAGTCATTCCTTCCGTTATGTCGTTCACGTTACCAAGTACAGCACAGGTCCTAAGGATGACCCCTGTGGAACCCCGCTTAACTTGTCACAGGCGCCCCCACTCTGACACCTCGTCGCGTACCATGGACTCGTTGTTTCCTCCCTGTCAGGTATTCTCTGCATTGCAGGGCCCTTTCTGTTATGGGGCTGGTCCTCAGCTTTTTGCAGTAACCTTTGTGAGGAACTGTGGTCGGAAAGCCTTCTTGCAGTCCAAAAATACGCAGTCGAATCCACCCTCTCTCTCTTGTCTTACTTCTGTCACCTTGTCATAAAACTTAGTAGTTTGTGACCACAGATTTTCCTCCCTGATACCATGCTGGTTGTCAATTTTACACTTGTTTCTTTCAGGTGCCCCACCACTCTCCTCCTGATGAACTTACCATGACCTTGCATACAATACTCGTTAGAGATACAGGTCTGTAGTTTAGTGCCTTCTTGTCTGTCTCCCTTTTTAAAAATGGGACTACATTTGCCATTTTCCATACCTCAGGGAGGGTTGCCAGTTTCAATGATGTGGTTGAAGATCTTGGCTTTAATGGCCTCACACAATATCTCTCTGCTCCCTCTTAAGGACCCATGGAGAGATGTTGTCCTGGTCCACCGCTTTGAGGTGTCAAGTCGCTAGGCTTCTTCACCTCCTCCTTGGTTATATGTACCTCATCCACAGCACTTGCTGGTGTGCCACCTGTTCTGATTTCTTGGAGTCTACTGGTTTCCACTGTAAATACCTCTTTAAATCTTGTGTTGAGCTCCTGACATACCTCTCGGTCGTTTCTTGTGGAATTCCCCATCACCCTTCCTCAGTCTGATTACCTGGTCCTTGACCTGTTGTTTTTCTCCTGATGTGGCTGTACAACCGCGTTCGGGTCGGGTCTTTACTTGTGATGCCTATGTTTCATTTTCATTATTGTCTCTGAGTCCTCCATCTTATCTGTGCATATTCGTTTCTGGCTCTTCGGCTGATTTTCTATTTCCTGAGTTTTGGTCTTCTGTACTTTTCCTTTCTCTGTACACCTAGTTTTTGCATCCCCTAAACCTTTGGGTGAACAGGACCTCGTTCTGTTCTTCCCATTATTTTCTGTTATACCTTGGGAACAAACCTTCTCTTCCTCCTAGCATTTTTTTGCCTATCATAGTCCATCATTTTTTGTACTGGTTTTCTGTCAGTTCCCTCTCCCACTGAATGTCTTGAAGGAAGTTTCCTCATGCCTGAGTTAGTTCCCTTTTTGTTAGTTTGGTTTTACCCAGCCTAGTCCTGCTACTCTCTCACTTGGAGTCAACATGTAGTCGATGCCCAGAACCACATGATCACTAGCTCCCAGGGGGTTCATACATGATACCTCGATGTCCGAACTACTCATGGTGAATACAGTCCACCTTGCTGGTTCATCCTCTCTCTCTCTCTGGTAGTGTCTTCTACATGTTGATGCATGAGGTTCCCAGTACCACATCCATCATCTTGGCTCTCCATGTTTCGGGGGACCCCATGGGGCTCCAGGTTTCAGTCACTCTCCTTGTGATTTGAATCACCCATAAACTAGTAAACTTTGCTCCCCACAATGAGTGCTCTCTGGCCACCTCGGGCTAGTGTTGTTGATCATTGACTCTGTTGCTCTCATCGTAATTTTCTCTTGGGCCCTCCTGCAGTTTCTGTGGTGGGTTGTACATTACTGCATTATACCTTATGTACCTCAGACTGGATTGTTCCTACTAAGTAGTCCCTTTCGCCCCTGCCATCCTTCCTTCCATTTTTCTCAAAAACCCCACTGGTTTTTTAATGAGCAGTGCAACTCTCCTCCCCCCTCTCCTCCCTCTGTCTTTCCTGAAGATTTGTATCGGGATGGAAAGACTGAAATGTTATTATTCTGGTGAGTTTTGTTTCTGTTGAGGTGCTTATTATGTTGGGGGGATGTCTCTTTGATTCTTTCGGCAATCCTCATACTTGTTTGTTATTTCCATCTGCATTTGTATACCACACTTCACTTCTTTTCTAAGACTGTGGTCTGGCGAAGTATATTGGGGTTGGGGAAGTGGGAGACCTGGTAGGGAACTATGGGTTGTTTGCTGTGGGGGTGAAGTTTGTATGTAGTGGGTGGGGCGGCATTGGATGTGGCATTGGGTGTTTTGATTCATATAGAGTGTTGGTTGCACTGGGGTTGACTGGGTTGGGAGCTTCTATAGAAAGTTGTGAGGGGGGGCGGGGCTGTGTTAGATTCTTTTTCCTGGGTCTGGATCTCTGTCTGTCTTCTCCATCCCTCTTTTCCTCCTTTTCCCTTGTACCATCTCTTCAGTTCTTCTTTCTTCTTGTGTTCGGTCGCGGTTCGAGATACACCCTCCTGTATGCCGTCATGTCCCTTTAATGTGCTTTCTCCTGCAGTATCCTGCGTCGCCGAGTGCTTCTGCCTTGAAGGTCACTCTCACTGGCCGGGTTCTTTTTATACAAACCCCCCTATTCTCCGAAAATTTTCCAGCTGGGTCATATCGTCTTCTCCTATTGCTTTCATGATGCTTTCAATGCTTTTTTTTCCCCGTGTTTTCTTGCTTCATATGTTTCCCTTCGACTTCCTGGAAAGCCATTACACAAAGACTGACCTCACCTTTCATTCTCCCACTGATATCCCTGTGTATTCCCCTCATTTAATTTGGTTTCCCTCATGCAGCTTTCCTTTCATCAGTTTCCACTGGCTAATGTTACATGGGCTTCAGTGGCTGTCATTTTCCCTTCTCGTTCCTTGGCTCTGTTGTTGTCTGTTAGGGCCTCCACATAAAGCTTAGCTCTTTCATTTGCTACAGTTCCTCTGAATAGAGCATCTCCATGCAGTTGTTGCCCTTTTTCCCTACAGTCCCCTTATTTTGTGGCTGAGGTAGCAGTCTCTTGTTGTCAATCCCAAATGTTCTTTAGTTT